TCTGTTCGGTACTTTTTGTGGTGGCGAATCAGCTTGTTGCCAGTGAAGTCTACCTCCCAAAAGTCCTCGTCTTGCGATGCGGCCACAGCAAACTTTGGCGTGATCTGAAGATCCGCTGTATGCTCCATGCAGCAGACTTTGGTGCCTTGTCGCTTGACTTCGCCCTGGGACTTCTCCCTCTGCGCGGAGCTGGGGAGTTAGCCCTTGGAGACCCTGCTTTGGGGGCTGCTGGGGCGGCTTCAGACTTCGGAGCGAAAGTTAAAGGCTTCTCGATGTCTTTGTGTTGGAACCGGCATTTGTCGCCTCTAGAACAGTTCCCTTCTTTCCAGAATTTACAGGTCACATTAATCTTCTTCTTGGGTTTGTCGCCTTTTGGGGACAATCATTTTTTCTTGTGAAGGAAAGGACAGTTGTTGCCACGCTTGCAAGTTCCTTTGAGGAAGTCATAGCATACTCTGGGGCTAGGGGACCTAGACTTACCAGGAGACTGGGATTTGTTTCTGCGGGGTGATCTGGGCCTTGGGCTCTGCGATCTGCCACGGCCTCCTCTGGATGAGGGGCTGGATGCACGGCCTGGTGACTTTGAAGCAGGGGCACCGTACTTATCCCCGTGAGACCGTGCGAAACAGTCACGGTTTTGGCGCTTTCGCTCTCTTGTTAAGAGATCTTTGAGCGACTTAACCAGGAATTTGTACGTGTGTTGTTCCGTCCCCTCTGCCGCTCTGTCATAGATTTCCAGGTCGTACTTGAGCCTTTTGGACTGCTTGAGTTCACGGAGGAAGATGTCTCTCAGGGTTGTTTCGTCCGGCGTGTGGCTAAGACCTGACATGACGCTTTCCCAGTTGCTAATGAAGGTGGAAAGGTCATTGTTCAGAAGCCTAACCTTCAGCAAGTCCTCAACCGAGTACAGAGAGCCCACCTCCTCGTTCGTCTTGGTACTGATCGAAGAGGTAGAGCACCTGCCGTCCTCGGACCGCTCTGAACTTGGCCGCTTCCCTGGCAACTTTGGTAAGTGCAGCAAGGAGTTTCGTATCGAGGGTGAGGAATTTCTCGGGGTCTCTTAAGGACTCATGACTAGCGTCTTTGTGGTAAGCCTGCATGACCCACTTGAAAGCCTCGTCTGGCGAGTCAGAGGCTGCTCTAACTGCTTCCCTCGTTGCCGTCTTCCAAGACCGGTACGATTCGGGGTTCGGGAACTTCGGTAGGTTTATGGACTCTGCCTCCTTCACTTTCGGCTGGCCTACATCTTCCTTAGGCTCGCCCTTGAGGCTCCTCAAGCTTTGGAGGATTGCCATTTGGGTCTCTAGGAGACCTGTGTTGAAGACCTCAGACACTGGCGCGCCGGGATCGGCCGCTGGAGGGGCCGCTGTTCCGGGGTGTGGTGCCTGGGAAGGTCCTGCGTTCGCTGTTGGTGACGAAGTGGGCTGTGCGCTCAAACCTCCTGGGTTCATTGATTCGAACAGGTTCCTAGCACCTTGGGGGAGAACACTAGGCATCGAGAACATCGGTGACTGGGGTGCTTTCGGGAAAGCAGATGGACCTGCGGGCATGCTCGGAGCAGGCACTGGCTGGCCCTTAGGGGCAGCTGGATTGACCTGTTCCAAGACCTTCTCTAGTGCGGTCTCAGCAGAATCCAATCTGTCCTGAAGCTCCTCATTCTGTTCCCTGAGAGATGCTTCGTATTCTTCTTGCTGTCTGTTCTTGAACAGCTCAAAGTGTGCTTGGATTTGTTCCAGCATAACTTCCTGTGAGTTTTCAGTGTGCTGTCTTGCCTGTTCTTCAAGGTTCTGCGCAAATCGCGACTCCATCAGTTGTTGGTCCAGTGCATCTGTGATTCGGCTTTGTTGAAGTTCCGCGAGCTCTTGACGCAACCTTGTGTCTTCGTCATAGGAATGTACCTGGCTCAAAATCATTTCAGACAAAAGAAGCTTTTCACGAGAGGCTGCCTTGTACTCAGAGGCTAAGGCTGCTTGCAATTCCGCTACCACTTCAAGGTGATTGCGTTCTGCTCTCTGTTCCAAGTCTGCTGTTTGAATTGCGGATGCTTCTTGATAGGTCAGCATGTGTTGCCTGTGTCTTGCTTCTGCTTGAGCTTCAAGTTCTCCGACTTCTAGCCTGATCTGATTGACGTGTACTTCGACACCGTATTGAGGTGCGAAGACGTTAAACTGTTGGAGCGAGGCTGGGGCCGGGAAAACTAAGCCGGGGGCGCCAGTTCCTGTATGGCCACCCGTGACCGGGGGCTGTGTCGGATTCACGGCGCTTGTGACTGTATCCATGTCTGGGATAAGTTCCGGTTCGCTCATGCACTGACTGTGTTGTACCCAACCAGTTGTGACCAGGCCGTAGGCTACACGGCTGATAACCTATAGTTGTAGGAAACCACTGCACACACGCACTGATTATACCCGTCCAAGTGATAGCAGTTAGGCACGGTATGCCATTGAGTAGCTACGCCCTTTTTCTTCCTGCTAGAGCACTTGTGCCACAATGTCACACACAGCATGGTACTTCACACGTGCACAAATTACAACTCATACCAGGATTCATTACGGTCTTTTTCAGGTCCCTAGGGCTTGTTCAAGCTGCAACCTTGATCGCAGAAGCGTACTTTAAGTTCCCGTAGGTGCTGGGCATCAGAAACCCTGAGCCTGAGAATGTTGGAAAAGCGAACTCCCCGAAGCCTTGTAACCCGAAGCCTCAAGCACTGAAACCCTTCAACCCGGCCCCACATAATCCTGAACCCTCCATTTCACTACCCTTCACGAAATCCTGAACCCTCCATTTTATTGCCCTTTATTTCTAACCCGTTTTGGACTTCTCTAAGAGGCTCAGGGTGGCTCTCAAGACATTTCGAGCAGCTCTCAGATGAGGGTCCTATGACCTTCATATTGACGCAAGAGACTACCAGGCCCCAAAGATGCTAGCTGCACAGTAGGCGGGGGCTTCTGTTCCAGAGATTCGAGGGTTTAGGATGCTTGGGCTTGAGGTTTAATGGATTTTCTTGTGGTTTGCCGTTACAAGACCTAAAGTGCACAGCCGGATTGGCCCTGGAATTTATGGATTGTTGTTGGGGGTTGCTTGGAGCTAGTCCAGGCTCTGGCGGCGGGTTTGTGGCTTGTTGGCTTGCTTTTGACACTTGTTTGGGGCGCCGGGCTGTTAAGATTCCCTAAGCCCCTAACTGCTTATCCCTTGAACCCAAACCCTCGACCCTAGCAGATTTAAATACTGCGCCCCTTGTTGTCTGCTTGAAGGCTTTGTGATAGTGAGAGCCTTTGGAGATGCAAGGTTAAGTGGTGTTATGAGCACTTATGACTATCGTTGCCTTATTCCTAGTAGTAAGGTAGGTAACCTTTAGCCTTTTGTGGGTGGTATAGTCCCCATATAATCCCTATATAACCAAAAAGGGTTAACCTTCAATTCCCCATGATACCCGACAAGTAAGTATTTAATTTGTAACCCTAAGACTGTTTGTAACCCTGGTTGCTGCGTGCCATGATTCCCCAAGCAGGGCTTGGGATCTACTGTAAACCCCATAAAAGTTGGAAGCCGGATTAAGGCCAAATAGTGCTGGGATTCCCTATACATTACTGCTAAGGATTGAGGCTATGGGGTTTTCCAACTTTTACTTTTGGGCCTCTACTGCAGAGTTTGGTATCGGCAGGCTTCAAGCTTCCCGCAGACACTCGAACCTCGAGCCTTTGTCCTCGAAAACCTTGTCCCATATGGGAGTTTCCGAGAATTAGGGCCATTAGGGGTTACCTCATTTTGGTGTCCTTATAATAAGGATCCTCCTGTTTAGGGTACTGTATCAGGTTCCCCCATTTTCGGAAACTCCCATATGCCATTGCTGCTTCAGAGGGATGTCAGTATGCTGATTGTTCAGGACGGCAGGGGATGAAGAAACGCATATGGGAATGTTCGGTTCGAGATAACCTCAGTGGGTCCATAAGGTTCAGGGCGCAGGCGATCGAAGAGTTCTTCTGTCCCGGCATCGCTTTCGTTTGCTTCGATACACTAGAGGTAGGCTATCAGGTTTAAGCAAGTGATTCTGTCGCGATGCCCCTGTCTGAGAGGTAGCCCTGGGGGCCTGGGAACTTAGAAGATTCGCGCCACAAGCGTTGTGCGCCGGTGGTGGTGCTGTCACAGCAGATGAAGTCAAAAAGGCTGGCTGCTTCACGACCACCCGAAACCCGATAGTATCCTTAGATGGGGCCAGCGGTTCCGACAACTCGCGCTGCCTTTGAGGAGTTGTTTCTTATTCAGAGTTTCTGGTTCCCAAAGCCCTAGACCCAGGGGATGCACGACTCCATATAGCAATTCGGGGCTCAGGAAAGCGATATCCACGATATCGCGATCCCAAAGGATCAGCATGTGCATGTGGTTTTTGTTGGAGGTTGCCGCATCTTTCCTGTCTCCTTTCGCTTCCGTTCCTCTCACGGCACATGCACACCCACGCATGAACGTACAGAGTTTCAGAAAGAACCTATGTGCATTCAGGGATGGTCTGGAAAGGCTTGGGGGATTGGGCCGGGGTTGGGGCAAGCGACAAGCAGTAATGACGTGGAGTGTGTGTGGAACCCTTCGAGAGGACCATGGCAAAGTCAAAATCCCACCTTCGACCGTTGCCGTTGTCCGCAGTGGGTCACGTCAAGCATGCTGCGCCAATGAACCACAAAACACCTTCCCCGAAAGCTTGCTTCATCTCTGCAGTGCAAGATAATCAAAAGCATTATCAACCTCCACCCGACAGACAGCTGCAAGGACCAAACCCACTATGGCCATTACAGAGATGCCTTTCCATGGCATGAATGGTCTGAGGAGTTCACTTTTTGGAAAGAAGGACACCTGGCCTGGGATATGCACGGCTCTGCTTCTTCGGGGCTCGGCCCCGCAGCCCCCAGTCCGGTTAGCCCGAAGCCTCTTTAAACCATAAACGAGCCTTCACCTTACCTCCCAAACCTTCTACCCTGCCGCCACGCCCATGGCCGCGAACTGCCATGCAAAGATCATGTCTGTGCCAGCCTCAGGGCGAAGATAGGGCCTTGATACCTAAACCATGGTCCTTTAATTTTCCTGGTAATGCAAGTACTGTCTAGTCGGTGATATTATCCCCGTTATAGTTACACTAGAATATGCCGATATACTCCAAGGCTCTATCCTAGCTGCTGTGAGGTTTGGGGTTCAGGGTTCAGAGCTTAGGGCTAGGGGATTTGAGGTGTAGGGTTGGCCGCTCAGAGTTCATTGAGGCTCGGGGTTGAGGTGTCAGGAGACAGGAAAATTTGAAATGCGACACCTACCCTAAACCCCTAAACCCTAAAACCTCAGACCCGAGACCGCGCAAACCCGTCTTTAGGCATGGGAGGCTCAGTCTTTAGGGCAACACTCTTGGGTTGTACGGTGTAGCAGCATCCCAGAACCCTAGAGAGGACTTCTACATGCCTACAACCTTAAAGTCAGCTCTATTCCGACACCTAAATCAACCCAAGAGGTAGGGGATAAGAGTCCGGTGAGTTCAGCGCGCACATATTGCTAAAGCAGCAATTATATTCCATTCTACAAATCGGTATTTCGCGAATGATACGCCAATGCAGAACGTGTGGCTTGCTCACATTTCTGACTGACGACGACTTCTCCGCTCCACAAACGCTTCTGCTCGGAGTTGCTCAGGCATCATGCATCAACTCGGATGTGCCGCAGCTTCTAAACTAAAGACACCTGAAACCCTAAACCCCAAAACCTAAAGACCTGAAGATCCTGCATCCCCAGCACACTTACCCTGCAAGCCTCAAGCCTCAGACCTTGTCCGGAAAAACTCAACCCAAGAACCTAATTGCCCTCAACTAGAAGAGCCCAAAACCGTCATACTAAAGTGCCTTCAAGACAAGGCAGAAAAGGCTGGATGTGGATTTCTTGAGTGGGGCCTTCCCTAGAGTAACCCGTGTACTCCAATTTTGTCATCGTTGCTCGCAAAATGCAATACAGCATGTCTACAAAACCTTCGGAAAATCCTGTTCGACAAGTTGCCACCCCCTCTACTCTACGGAACATACCAAAATTCGGAACCCTAGGGAAGGAGCCTCTTGGGCTTGTATGAACAAGACTTTCCTTTGGTGTGGAGCACGTGGCACGCCTCGGGTCTCATGCAAAGAGAACGAGGCTTTAGAGGATAGTCTTGATGGCAACGACATTGCTCGAGGAACAGCCACTTGGTGGTCATGGAGAGGCGTTGCCGGCCAATGCGGTCGATGATGACGCGCCTCCTGCTGACGCCACTGACTGAGCCTTTCTGGCACGCCTACGACGACCTGTAGCTGACAGACAGCGGCAACAGATTCTGGCGTTGGGACAGAACACACCAAGGAGCCTAAGGAACGCCAAGGAATACTACACTGAAAACACCAGGATCTTCAGAGGCATCCTTTTTGTTTCATGGCTTCTGGGTTCCCATTATAGCACAACTAACGCAAAAAGCTATGCGTGATATATTCAGTGGCTTACCTAGCAGCCTAGAGTTCGGAAGCATACTGCAAAGATCAACATAGCAACCTAAATAATTACCGATGCTGTTTTGGGGGTTCCTTATTGTCATTGTAGTATCACGGGCCCCAAAACCCTATTCTAATTAGTAAGGCCCCTGCATTAGAACCCTACTATAGATCCCCTATAGACCCCGTTAACGGACCCCTTAAAGGAACCCTATTCTGATTATGAAGGCCCCGACATAGTACGCTTATAGATCCCCGATAGACCCCTTATAGACCCCTTTAAAGGAACCCTGTTCTGATTCTTAAGGCCCCTACAGTACCATCAGGGCGTGGCTCCTCCTGGTGCTGCCCAAGTCGAGCTGCGAGTTCCTCGAGGCCTTGTTCAGGCCCCGGGGGGGGGATCGGGATTAGGGTTTTGGGGTTTAGGGTTTAGGGGTTCAGGGTTTAGGGGTTTAGGGTTCAGGGTTTAGGGTTCGGGGTTTAGGGTTTAGGGGTTTAGGGGTTCAGGGGTTAGGGTTTAGGGTTTAGGGTTGGGACTTCAAGAGCTGGTCATAGCGATGTTTCACGCCGTTGCTATGTATAGGTATAGCTGTAGATATGGAGATAGATGCCGTGACTTGTTTGTCTTTTATGCGATTATAGATGTTGTAAGGGGCTGCAGATGTTTACAAAATTTTGCAGTTGTGTGCTTGCTTTTGTTTTGTTGGAGGAGGGGTATGTGTAGGGCTTCCATCAACTCTCTTGGAGCCTTTGGTTTAGGCTTCCGGATCCGCGTACCTTCGGGGTATAGTCTCTTGTGATTTTTCAGATTGGAACTGGAAATGGTCTTCGCTATTGGGGTGCGCAGTCTCGGTGCCCGTCGTCGGTTTGCTTGCTGATGTTTGGGCTTTCAGGTTTCAATGCTGCTCTGAAGTGTCATCCGGAGCCAAGAGCATCCCTATACCGTGACCGTACGAAGCCGGTAGCTGAGCAGGTGCTTCTAGAAGGTTGACAGGGCTCTTGCACACCTTACTACGATTGTAAAGCAGCAGAATACCTACGGACTTTTGAGATACTCTTTAAGTCCCCTAGTCCGGCCCGATCACCTCGGCATTGAGAATCCGGCTGGGTATGCGCCTTCAGGTTGTTGCGTGGTTTTGGAGGTTACAGACAGGGCACTTTAGGGATTCGGCCTTTGTGAGCTTTTCCCAGCCATGCAGCTCCTACGCCCAAAAAGCGTAGAGCCTGAGTCCTTCCTCCCTGAGCTGAGTGGGTAATCGGGTAATTTTTCTCGGCTCAATGTTCGTATACTTAAAGTACTCCTACCCTCACAAGACGGCTCGCCTTGCTTGGACCATGATACCTTGCTCTCGCAAGACCAGTGTAAGCAGTTTTCAAGAAACAATGCAAAGACCCAAGCCTTGAAAAAGGGCGCAGGCCACCTAAAGCCCAAAGCCCTTCGTCCAACAAACTGTCAGGCGTTCAAAGAAAGTAAAGAGACAGCAGAAAATCCAATCAGATGTTCAGGAATTCCGGTGCGCCGAAGCCGGAAGTTTCAGAGCTCCTGCAGCTTCTTCGGGGCAAGGCGGAGACCGGTGATAAGTAAGGGGCCTCTCGTATATTTATAGTACAATGGGCCCCAAAACCCTACTCTAATTACTCAGGCCCTAACAGGAGCGGTTGCGGGCTGTGTTTTTGGCAATTAGGTTTTACGGTTAAGAGATCAGGGTTTTGCGTTACGGATTTAGGGTTTAGAAATGCAGCTGCTCTCGGGAAAGGCGATTCGCGGGGTTCAGAACGAGTCTATGTCTTTTCTTAATAGGATTTCGGAAGGTGTTGTGGTTTTGCTGTTTCGCTGACAGGGGTGCACTCGTTCTTAAACATCTCTTTAGTCCAGGGTATCGTGTCGTTTTTTGACAAAGTCGGCTGCTGCAGGGTGCGTAATTCCTGTCATTAGGTGGTGTTTCGTTTGGACATGACTGATTGCATGACGGTTTGCAACCAAAGCTCAAAGCTGACCCTTCCGGTGTCGCGAGTGTGGAGCTTAGGATCCAGTGTTATTCAGGGTTGCCTACAATTTCCTCTGTAGCTCCTTCCGTCAGCTTAGGAAGGTGTGGTTAAACTTCTCTGGGGCCCTGTCAATCGAAGAATGCGAAGCACAATCGCTATGGGTTTATCAAGTGTATAGTTAGGATCCTAGAGTATGTAACTGGCTCACCAGAGAAAGGAACGACAGTGGAGACAACAGGAGAGCTTAAAGGTTAAAGCTTCTGTGTTTCGAGGACATCCTGCCCAGGGATTTGCCTAACTAAACCCTAAACCATATGTCCAAGACCCTGATTCTAAATCTCTCATTTAGGGTTTGATGAGTGTTCGCAATAATTACGTACGCGCTTTTCCCTAGGGCTCCTTAACAAGTGGAGCTCTACTCGACTGATATCCCGAAGCCCTGTTTTCAATCATAAGAGGCTCCTGCATTGTGGCTCGGTGGGGCTCTGGGGTTTGAAGTGGGGGTTTCCGAAAATAGGGAACCCTGCAATAGCTCCCTAAATAGTACAATCCTTATTACAAGGGCCCCAAAATAAGGTACCCCTACCTTGGAAACCCCTAATGAATCCCAGGCGCAGGAGCAGTGGCAGCTCATTGAGAAGCAGGCTCTGCGGCTCGGAGGAGACTCAGGTTCTCGTTGCAGTTTAGGGTTTCAGGGCTTAGGACCTGCTGTGGGGATAGGGGAGGGGGGGTTGGGGGTTTCAGGACTTTTGGACAGCTGAGGGCGCGTTTGGCAATAGTAGTAATGTGGAGCTAATTACCAACACCGTTCTGGGGGTTCCTTATTATGGAAATAGTAGAATACACCCCACCAATTACGCAGGCCCCTACGTTACATAAGTTCCCGGTGGCCTTGAGAAGTGGGAGAAGCCAAGGATGATTCGAGATCTGGAGCAGGAACTGGAGCGCTTCAAGGCACTTTTGTCGCCTCCTTTTCGCAGGTCTCACAAGCTTTTAACAAGTTGCTGGCTGGCGGGTTGAAGCTCTTTTCATACGATCTGAGTAGGTTGTGTATCGGATTTCAGTTTAGAAGATTTACAGTTTTCGGGAAGTATAGATCCCTGATTCAGAAACCTTCTTGTTCAAAAAGGCAAAGTCTTCGGATCACCCAAACAGTTTTCTGAACCATGGATCTTCAGGAAGAAGCTGATGTCCTCCACATAGGGCGTTCAAGGGTCGTGTGGGTTTGTGGTGTTAGACACCCGCAAATCAGAGGCCCCTTCTGTTGTTTTTTGTTTCAGCTAGTTGCTATGATTGGCTATGATTAAAACTATTGTTATGATGGTTATTACGAAGATCATGATTGCTTCGTCTGGGTACTGACACCCGAGGGAATGGAGCTTGGAGTTCTTTCAAAGGGTCTTAGGGCTCCTTCTTGGAGTCGAAAGAGCGAGACAGAGAGAGAGAGAGATGCCGAAAAGGGCCTGACGTCATTGCTAGTTATATACAGGGACCGGGCCCCAAGTTCGATCCAGGAAGAAGAAGAGACCTGGTGCATCTTGCAACTGCCGCTAATTCGATCGCAAGCAGAAGTTCCCAGCACATCTTAAACTTCAACCTCCAACCCTCAAAACGGAGGCTGAGCTGGTACTTCTGAAAGCACGCCGCCAAGCACAGCGCCAGCGCCTTGCAACACGCTGCTCAAAGGCAACGGGAGCAAGGTCCGGCTTAGTGCCGCCGGGGATTGCGGCCAATTTAGGAAGTTTAGGGCCTTAAGAGTTCAGGGCTTATGCGAGCTCACAGTGCACGCCGTCTACGGGAAGCATATCTGCCATACAGGCGATGACAATCAAGCGAAACCGATTCCAAAGCTGACATTCATCATCATCGTGGTCGTGCCTGAGGCTCCATGACCCTAAACCCTAAACCCTACAATGAGGGATCTGCCCTGAAGCTTTGAGCCCTGGAGTTGGGCTTGAGTCGTCTCCATGGCTGAGCCTGGATCATAAACTTGGCCACTGGGCTCACCGAAAGCGAAAGCAGAACCCTAGGGATCAAAATAGCCCAAAAGCCTTATATATGAGTCCTTGGATCCCTAGGGGAATAGAAAGCTGAAGAGAAGCTGTCAGTTTTGTACATCGCATCTTTAGGCAAATTACACACAGATAGACAGACAGACTGTTAGCCCCGGACCAATAGATCGAGACGGCGAGACAGATGGCACATCTTTCAGTTGTTCACCCTCCTTGTTTCCATCCATACATATAGCGAAAACAGATGAAGATAGAGGGAGAGGGGAGAGGACCTGTTGACTGCTGTTCTTGTTGTTGCCGTTCTCCGCATTCTCCAAATGCTGACAAAGACTGCTGTGTTGCTGTGTTAAGATGAGAATGAGGCAGTTTAGGGTGAGCCAGGAGACCCAGAAGTAATTGTCTATATTTGGGTGTTCCTTATTGTAATCGTATCATATACTCCAACACCCTGTTCTAGTCATTAAGGCCCCTAGTGGAGAAACCTTATTAAGATCTCTTTAGAAACCCCTCTAAGGGAATCCCATTCCAATCATTAAGGCTCCTCTAGTATAGAACTCGATTATTCTAGATCCCTTATAGTAGCCCTTACAAACCCCTTTAAAGGAACCCTATTCTAATTTTTACGCCCCCTCTATTATAGAACTTACAGACCCTTTTTATTGAGGCCCCCTACAAAAGAACTTCGCCGCTTCTGAGGCTCCCTCGCTTGTGGAGCGCAGCGGAAGCCCCGGCGAAGAGGCGCTCCGTGACGACGATGCCTCCGTGGAGAGGACTTGCGGCTGATGATGAGAATAGGGTCCCTTAGGCTGCTATAAGGGATCTGTAGTAGAGTTCTGTAATGAAGGGCCTTAGTGATCAGAATAGGGTTCCTTTCAAGGGGTCCATAAGGGCTTATAAAGGATCAAAAGTAGAGTTCTATAATTTAATAAAGGGCCTTAGTGATCAGAATAAGGTTCCTTTCAAGGGGGTCTGCAAGGGCTATTGTCCGGGATCTTTCATAGAGTTCTTTAATGGAGGGGCCTAAATGATTAGAATTGTGTTCCTTTCAAGGGGATCTATCAGGGCTGCTATACTGGTTTAGTATCGGGGCCTGAATGGTTAGAAGAGGATTTTGGTGTATATGATACTGTATATGGGAGTTTCCGAAAATGAGGGGAACCTTATTCTGGGGGTCCTTATAATCAGGATCCTACTAGTTTGGGTACTATATTGGGACCTCTATTTTCGGAAACTCCCAGGACCGAGAGTTGCAGAAGAGTGCAGGGTGCATACTATAGGGGCTTCAATGGTAAATTCGATTCCAAATGATTCCTTGTATGCTCTTTCGGATTACCCGATTCCCTGTTCTGACCTGTGATGTTTAGTGTATGGTGTTTTGAGGTTCAAGGGCTTCGGGCTTAGACGGTGTAGGTCTGTGAGAGTTGGGGGACTCAAACATCAACTCTTTGTCTTGCTTTGTAAGGGCCAGGTGCCGGGTCAAGGTCCAAGGCTTTAACACAACACTTAGCTCTACTATTCCATAGGCTTCCTAATACCATGTTTTGTGCAATTTCCAATAAAAGTCTTGTCCATTGAAGCTCTGTGTCCGGGGTTGCTTGGATGTGCCGAATATGGAGGTCTGAATTATAAGTAACTAGCATATACCTCAAAACTCTGTTCTAATTGCCTAGGCCCCTTCACTAGCACAGGAGAAATCTCGCTTGCCTCCTCTGCCTCTGTCGAACAACGGCGAGCGAGCGACGGCAAGAAAATCAGTCCTTCAGGGATGCTCGTGCAGATTTTAGAAATTCCTTCGAGAGGTCGACAAGGCTTCTATGGTTTAGGATTTAGGGTTTATGCTCTTGAGATTTCCTGATGCTCAAGCTTGTTACAAGCTGGCCGTTCGGGTTTCAGAGAGCTTCCCGCAGATAGGATCCACACTTCACTGTTTAAGAATATTAGACCGCGACTTTGGATTAAGGGTCAGGTATCGAGTTTTCAAGGCTCCCGGATGATTCAGCATACCTGACAGCTCCTGTGATTCTCCAGTATCGGCGCGAGGCGGGTTGAGCTTCCGTGCACCTGTCTTTTTTGTGTGCTTCCGCTGGACTACGCAGGGGAGTAACGCTAGCAGTACGAGGGTTGACGTCTAAGAAAAGAATTGCCATATTGGGAGTGCTGCTTGTCATATTGCGGTATTGGTGGTGGCTTTGGTAGTTTAGGGTCCGTCTAGATATCG